GTATTGAATTTATGTACTGTGAATATTTTTTCAAGGTTTATTGCGAATGTTTCCGCTTGTTTTTCTGTGCTTTTCGCCCATGAGCCGTCAATATTTCTTATGGCTGGKATTGATTTTATTGGTCTTTTGAACYTCTTTGTTGTTTTCCAGAGACAGTAGTTTGTATCCTCGTGAGGTGAAATTGAAATGAGGTATTTTTCAAATTCGGCGTTGTTATAATCCCGTAAACTCTGCTTAACGTCTTTGGTTACTTTATTTAGTAGTCTCTTATTGCTCTTTGTTTGGTTTTTCTGCCACCTAGCTTTGACTTGACTTTTTATTTTTATTTTATGCAAAATATTGCTGGGATATGTTGGAAAATCTCTGGAAGTAACTTTTTGGGATGTAGATGCCCACGCTGCTTCTTGAATTGTATCTGTAAGGTTATTGACTGCATTATCTATTTGAGAAGAGGTCTTGAGCGGGATGTTACAGTTTAATTTTGATTCAAATGTTTCTTTAAAAATCATCCAATTTGTGCTACCATTGCATAGCGTTGGTGATTTTTTGTATAGTAAGGGTTTGCTCTGATATGTTATTATAATAGGAGAATGGTCTGAACTGAGATCCAATAATGATTTGGTTTTGAAGTGCATTAGGTTTAGGCYTTTYAGRATGCCGAAGTCTATTAARTCGGGGGTTTTATTAGAAGCTGATGGCCAGTATGTTGGTTCACCTGTCGTGAGGATATTTAGGTTTGCGTTCGTTATGTAAGAGTTTAAGATTTTATCTCTCGGTGAAGTGGTTTTTGATCCCCAATATGGATGTTTGGCGTTGAAGTCACCAGCTACTATAAATTTATTACCTAATTCCTTAAAGAAGCTATTCCATTGGTCGATTGTAATTTTAAATTTTGGCGATGCGTAGATAGCCGATAGTTTAATTGAATTACCTTGTGTTTTTAGTGTAATTGTGGTGGCTTGAAGGTAATCGTTTTCTGTTTTACTGTGTAGATGATGTTTTATCTCGCTCTTAATAATTATAGCAGTTCCACCTTGCGCTTTACCTGAAGGATGTTTGGTGTCATACATGGTGTAGTGTGGAATATTTATGTAATTTTTGTCTGTGAGATGAGTTTCAGATACGAGTAGAATGTCTATATCATGCGTGTATATGAATGCTTTGGTTTCTTGAATTCGTTGTTGTAATCCGTTGCTGTTCCAAGCCGCTATTTTTATTTGTGTATCCATTATTTGTTATT